CTTAAGATGTAAATATACATACACTCTGCAGCAGCAAATTTCTTTTGGAAAAGCTGTAACAAATAGACCGCTGGTGAGGAGTACTTGGGACTAACAGTTACTTGTAGGCAGTTAGTGTACCAAAATGCAAATTAGCTTGAACTGTAATTACTGCTTTATTGCTGGGGCTGAAGTACACAGGCTGTTCATCAAGGAAATATATTGCAAGGAAGTCCTGTTCAGTTTAGTGGTGCTTACTCCTGCATACAGGACCACAGTCTCAAGTTCTCATAGATTACGACCAGAGAATACACTCCATATCGTGCAAAGAAAATAGTTCACTTTAACATTATACCATATTATGGATGATCTGTTACCACACTGTCTGGAACCATGTACACTATAAACCTTATCTGTATTTACTGAGAAGTAAGTTCCAGTGTCCTTGTCCTTATTACTGCCTAATAAGTATGTTGACTATGCCCATTTGTCCTGAGAGCCAGCTCCTTTGAAGAAAATAGGACTTCAGAGATCTTTGAGAAAGGCCTTCTCAGTGGATGCTCTGGGACTTTAGAATTTGCTGCCAAGAGAAACAAGGCTAACTCAGTTTCCACTGGCAGCCTGTCTACTGAGACAAGCTTGAAGAAGGCTATATATGATGCTGCCGAAGTGGGTCTGAAGTATATCTGGGTGTCGGTTTTCTTTCTATTTTTCTTTGATGTTTTTATTGGCATGAATATTTATTCAACACTATTCAATACTTTGAATATAACTGTTGTTATTTACATGCTATTGTTAACTGCCTTTAAAGAAGGGAAGGGTATACACTGAATATAAAAATAAATCACGTTTGAGTAAGCAAGTATACCCACAGGAGAAGATAACTGTGCTAGAACAAGTAGAAGGCAGTAGGAACTGAGGGCTACCTAAAATGAAATTAATGCAGTAAACCAAGCAACAGCCTTGAGTGTGCATAGTTTTTAAATGATAGGACCTTTTGCAGGGCATTAATTCATAGGGTCATTGTAAGTGAGGGCTACCTAAAATGAAATTAACGCAATAAAGGAAGCAACAGCCTTGAGTTTGCAGAGTTTTAAAATGGTAGGACCTTTCGCAGGGCATTAATTCATAGGGTCATTGTAAGTCTGTTGCAACCTGACAACATATAACAGCAAGCAAGTGTTAAGATAGCTGTGGCACAGACCAACCGCTTTCAAGTTATCCCTATTATACTACACCCACTATAGCTGGAGGGAAAATACTCCTCACCTTCATGTGGGCCTCTGTTGCCATTATATTGGCCTTCCAGGAAACGAAATTCATCCTGGGAGTGGCAAAGGCCCATGGGATCGGTTGTAGTGGGTTTTTCGGGCTCTTTGGCCGTGTTCTGAAGGTTATTCTTCCTAACATTTCACCAGTCTCTGTGGTCGGCATCTTCAGAGGACAGTGTGCTGTCCTCTGAAGATGCTGGCCACAAAGACTGGCAAAACAGAGAGCCCGAAAAACCCAAAAACAACCATTAGATCCCGGCCGTGAAAGCTTTCGCCCATGGGATTGGTAGCCTATGAGCTATGAAACCTTTTAAAGGAAGGCTCTCAAAAGAACAACCCATAGGATGATACTGTACCTTGAGTCTGTCCTGAATCCTTGCCAGGCACCACAACCAGGAATAGTTTATCTTCTTGAAAGGCCCATACAATACAATGGCGATGGAGGCCCCCACACAGGTGAGAAAAGCTCCTCTTCAAACTACTTCTGTTTTTGGGCTGCATCTCCCAGGATTCTGCCTGCAGGGAATTCCAGGCAAACTCTGGGAGTTGCAGCCGAAAAGAACTGAAATCCCCACGCTTCCTTAAAGAGGGCCTTAATTTCACTGTGTATCTGCAAAACACATTTATAGCTATTTGATGCTACTGTAATTGACACGGCTTCATCCGATGACATCCTGGGATTTGCCATTTGGTGAAGTACTTAGAATTCACCACTAGAGAGCTTTAGTGCACTCCCCTGGACCACAGCAGAGAACTCTAAATACCTGTCCAAAATTTTAAAAATCCCAAAATTTCATAGAGTGGAACAATGGCAGCTAAAATGGGTATTAAACTGCTATAACTGCACAGTATAGGTACATGAGCAGTCTGGATAGCTTGGTGAAGTAGGTACCTGGGCTATGAAGCTGGAGGCCAGGAGTTCAGTTCCCAACTGTGCCTTGTCAAGGAGCCAACCTCTGTAGCTTTGAGCAAGCTGCACAGTTCCAGGGCAGCCCAGGAAGAAGTGACAGGTAAATCACTTTCCCTCAAAGACTAGGGCTGCCTGAGCATGATCTTTTTAGATAGATTGTTATGCATCACTGCTTTGACTGTGTCTTTAGTATTGCTTGTGTTTCCCATTTCTAAGAGGGGTATTTTGCTTCTTTTAAATATGTCCATAGTGTTTTTAGCTTTAAACATTGTCTTTTAATGATGTACATCATCTGTGTATACAGTACTCATTCTCTTAGGCATCCTTCAGTCTCGAGAGACTATGGTAATGTGCTCTGTATCGAGGACTTGGACCAGCCTCTAGTGTGGCTGAGAAGGCTGATTTGAGAGTGACAATCCCTTCCACAATGAAGACAAATCCAATCTGTCCCCTGTCCAGCTCCCTGGTTTTGCTTGTTTCGGGACTGCCTCTTTGCCTTGGCCTGCTGGAGAAGGGTCTCTTCAAATTGGGAGAGGCCATGATACACCTCCTGCCTTGGGTCCTTTTCTAAGAAGAAAGGTGGGGTAATTTTAAAATAAATAAATAAATAAATGCTCTCTACCTAGAAAATCCTGGAAAGGATTGTCATAAGTCAGAATTGACTTAATAGCATGTAAATATATTGTTATAGAATATAACATTAATTATATCATAATAGAGTTTAACATGTAGGGTGGCACACAAAACCACAACACCCCTGAAAATCCTACCAGTTAGCAACTATTTAAATGATTTCCAATTTAGGAAGTGAAGAGGACCTGTGGTCAATTATCTGAAATAAGGAAACTGGTAGCAGAGTGACTACAAAACAAAAACAAACAAAATGAAACAAAATGCTTGCCAGGGGGCACAACTAGAAGGTGGTAAACCAGACACAGATGGCTCTCTTATAGCCAGCTATTTCAGCAGACATCATGACCGCAAGATGTGTATTAACAATCCTCAGAGGCAACCTTATTAGGCCTTTATTAGGAGCAATTGTGTCTACTCAGCAAGTTCATTTTCAGGTTTAAGGATAACCAAAGAAGATGATGGTTTAGCATCACTGACAGAGCCAGTTAAAGGTAAAGGTTCCCCTTGACGTTTACAGTAGTCCAGTCGTGTCTGACTCTAGGGTGCAGTGCTCAACCCCGTCTCCAAGCCGTAGACCCAGTGTTTGTCCGAAGACAGTTTCCGTGGTCACGTGGCCAGTGCGACTAGACACAGAACGCCGTTACTTTCCCACTGTGGTGGTACCTATTTATCTATTTGCATTTTTACATGCTTTGGAACTGCTAGGTTGGCGGGAGCTGGGACAAGCGATGGGAGCTCACTCCGTCGTGTGGATTCCATCTTACAACTGCAGGTCTTCTGACCCTGCAGCACAGAGGCTTCTGCGGTTTAACCCGCAGCGACACCATGTTCCTGTTGACAGAGCCAGTTACTGTATTGTTAATACCTAGAAGTGAATATTTATTATTATAATCAGCATTGTAACCTTTAAAATAAAAAAGTGCCAGAGCTATAAACTATGGGATAACAGTATTCTCTGACTTCAGAAGCCTTCCTTTTGTACTCAGTTGTATCGGAGGGGGGGATCACAGTAGTACTGTACTATTAGCGAATGACAGCCATTTGACACAAGACTCGATGCACGCTTTTCTTTTGAGTTCTTGTGTCTCAGGACTGGAGTATCCTAAGGAGGGTTCCATTCGGGCAAACAGGGCGGTGTCCGGCACCCCCGCCCCTCTCGGGTTACCCCGTCCCTGCCTACCTCCATACCAGGGCAGAGGGCACGTAGGCGCATCCCCTGTTTAACTACCAGACTGAATGGGACTTTGCAAGAGGGAGGAGGGAGGGAAGGAAAAACGAAATACTTGGGGAAAGCACCTGAGCTTATTGCCCAGCTCGGAAACCAGGTGTCGAGGGAAGCCGTGTTTCTAACTTGGGGACAACTGCAGTTGCAAAGTGGGGGGGGGGAATGACTTGGGTGGGGCAGAGGGAGGGGCAGAGAGTCTGCGCGCCCAGCGTGCGTGTCCGGGACGAGCCATTTTGGTCCCTGGTTCTGCCCGCCACTCTCGGCTCCAGCCACTGCTGGCTGCCGTGCCTTCTGCCCCGCCACCCAGAATGGGCACCAGCCCGCACTATCCCCGGGTAAGTTCCCATCACCCATCGTGAACCTGACTGGTGGCCCAGGTGGATCTTAACTCTCAAGAGTCTTTACTGCTTTGCATGGATACAGACGACTGGCAAAAGCAAAGTGCCGCCGAGTGGCTTTACCAGAAAGAGGGCTTTTGGTCCCGAGTACTGTTCTTAAAGCCCAGCGTACATTGGATTTCAAAACGGATTTCAGAATTTTCCTTGTGAAATCGGTCCCGGGATAGACTATGTCCCCTTGGATACCTCGGAAATAGCATCCAAACCATTTCGCATAGATCCGGTTTATGGTTTCTAGGTTAGAAAGTGTGAATTCTTTCCAAACTACTTTTGAGCCGCCCCTCCCCCTCTTTTTTGCTTTGAAGTCACCGGGCTGGAAAAACGCCCAGCGGCCCCGATATCTCCGCGCGAGCCCTCCCTCGCCTCCCTCCTATCTCTTTTGGCCACGAGCTGAGCGTAACTTATCTTGTTTGTGTGCCTCTTAGTACCTCCAGATGGCCAAATAAGACTGGAAGATAAACATGCGGGAAGACACTAGCAGGGGTTAAGCCAAAAAGAGGGGAGGGGGGAGCAAAGTGCCGCCGAGTGGGAGGAGCTAACGAGGGCCCGGGGCCCCGCCTCCCCGCTTGGCGCCTGCATAAAAACCCGCCGCCGCTTCCTCCACGTTGCATCTCAGGCGCGGCGCTGGAAGGGGGCAGCTCGAGGCGGGCGCTTTGCACCACGACCGGAGCGATGGGGACCGCCCTGACTACGCGGCTCGGCTTGGGGCTTCTGCTCTTGGCCCTGCTTTTACCCACGCAGGTGAGCCTTCGAGGCGCGGCGCCCTCCTGCTCCCACCCCTCGCGAAAGACTTGAGGCGGGTGGGAAGCGGAGGGTTATTCCCTTCCACCTGGTCCCTCGGTGCCTTCCTGTGGGGCTCACGAGTTCCCCGGCGGGGAGTGAGGCGGTGCCTGAAGGACGGGGCGCCCCGAGGCGGGGAAGCGGGCAGGGGACCCCCGATGTTCTTTTCGACGGCTGCGGCTGCAGCGCGCATAGCACGCGGGTCGCCCTGTTAGGCGGTTGCGGGGAGAGGCGGGGACGGGGGGGGTCGCTTTGTGGTGCCCTCAAGACCGGCAAGTCTTTTTCGCATCAGGGACGAAGAGTGCCGTCGGAGAACTGGAAGGTGAACCGGCGTTCGCGCAAAAAGATCCTGCCAGTCAAAGATGCGAAGGGGGGGGAAGCCCGTAAAGTCGCCACGTCTCCCTCGGTCCTTCTTACCTCCCGATTTTATTTATTTATTTATTTATTTATTTATTTATTTATTTATTTATTTATTTATTGCTGATACCTAGCCGTCTACTCTTTTTTTGTTTGTCTGTTTTCGAGGGAGGAGTGCTTCATGTTAACGAGTAACCCCTGGGTACGTTTTTTGGTATCTAAAAGGCTGTGAGAGAGTTGGGCGTGTCACTGGCCCCCAGCAGGGTTTTATTTAAGTTAGGGGTCTGGGAGCTTCGTGTACAAAGAGACCCTAACCCTGTTCCTATAGTAGGGGACTTCAGCGAACTTAAAAATAACGGAAGCCTCCGAGTTGCCTTATAATAACTCGCTAAAAGCGTTGAACCGCAGCAAACTTTCAGCTGCGGCATTGTATCTTGGTACTGCTGAAGCAGCCCCAGCCAGACAAAAAACGGGAGCCAACGGTAATGACCAGCCGTTTCTCTGACTCGGGGTTGGTTTCCAAATGGATCTGAAGTGGCTGATTGTAAGGGAGCCGCTTGGTAAGACGAACGAAGGAGGATCGCAGATTCTCTTAGATTCGAATCTTTTTCGTTCACTTGAAAGAGGCAGAACGCCTCGGCTTTCTTTGGAAACGGGCAGAGACGGTGGGTGACCTGTAGAAGGTTGGGGTTCCCACCCCCTTCTTTATCTCCTCGCTCTTCTCTTTGCCAAAACGTAGAAAACCGGGGACATTTTAAACTCGGGGCGCCCCTTTCATATTTATTCACATGCCTCAATGCTTTCCGTGAAACATGCTGTCTGGTAAGCCCTAAGGTATAATTTTGGCTAGTTTATGTTTGGAAAACTGCCTGCCACTGCTTTGAGAAGCTTAAAGGCTCCAAACTTCAGTTTAAATATACCAATCAAATAAGTAAAAAGTCTGAAACCTTGATGGTGAAAAGAAACCAACCTTCTATATTTGGTGAAGTGTTCAAATACTAGAAAGTTAGTGACACATAGTTTTATTTCCTGAGGCCCTTTGAAAACCTCTTTGACTTTGAATTAAAAAGTGTTGGTAACAAAGTTTTATTTCAGCAGACTCTCTCTTTATTTAGGGTGTGCTTTTGTCTCCTGCATCTATAACTTGCTTCATTAAATAGATAAGAGCGGTGATCAGGACTTCATACAGCCAGCATGTTTCTGCCCCACCCCGGCTTCGAGGGACTTAAGAGATAAATTTGAGGTGATCTGAGAGGACTTTGATAAAGGACTATCCTGCCCCACAAGGAGTAGAGTCGGGACAGTGCAAGCCCGACTAACAGTAATTGAAGAAGGACATTGTGGAAGCAAGCTTGTGTTTCCTCTTTGAAACTCTCTTTAGATACCAAACATACCACCAGAAAGCTTTATAACGGGATCCAAAATTCAGAAATTCCTGATAAGGTTTTTTTTCTCTTGGGACAAAAGGAATGTTCAGATGGTGGATCTGATGCCATATAGGAGACCAAGGTGGTTTCTAGAGGTTACTATATTCTTTACATGCCACGTAGACTAATGGTACAGAAGCTAAAGCCAACAGATGGGCAGGTCTTGGCAGAGCCCTGTATTCTTGTTGGGATGGCATTAAAAATGGAATGGTTCAGAGGAGCCTTGAAAATATGTATTGCCTGAAGGCTGCAACCTAAAAAAAAGCCCTCTCAGACAGCCAGTGACTAAAGGGAAAGCCTGCCTGAAGAGAGAAATTGCACTGAATTTCAGATTATTTAAAATGGCCATGAAGGCAACTTAAATCTGCACAAACCACAGCCTGATTCCCTTTGAATAGAAAATAGAGGGGTTTTTTTTCCTGTGCATCAGAGAGTCCCGTGGCATTGGAAAGACTAGCGGCACCTTTTGAAGATGCTATAGGACTCTTTTTGCTGCAACATTCTTTAATTTGGCTATCCTTTTGGCAGTTTTTTTTCTGCGGTAGATATAGGCAAGAAGCTGTGGTTATCCTGTAAGTGGGTTTATTTTTCTATTTCTGTGCTTTCTTAGTTACAAATTTCACTGAAAGTAATCGGGGTGTCCCTAACAGAGAGGGCGGGGTGAAACTGATTAGCACTTATATTAGTTTGTAGGTTTAGTAACATGCTTATGACAATTATTTGTTATTTCTTATTATAATGCACCACATAAATTTGCATGGATATTCTCACCTAGGGACAAATTTCCCATGCCCCCCCCCAGGTGTTCAACATATCGAGTACTCCATATACAGCTGGATTGTGGCAGCATAAGTTTCTCTTGAGCAACTTAAATTTAGGTTGCAGGAGGACAGGGTGTCTGCGATCTGTCACTGTACTTACCATTTACTACAAAGGGACTTCAGGAAATGTACAGTGCTCTTAAGCTGCAAACAGACAATAAGTTTGTTCTCTGAGCTGAGCTCCGAGAGCCGTTTTGAAAAAGCTGGATGTGCTCATCCCACCTGTGCCACCGGCAGAACAGGTTTTTGTGCTGGAGACCTGAGTTTTTTTGTTAGGGGGAATGTTGGGCAGACAGTGACGGAGACAAAAGGCACCTACGTGTGTGCCACGGAAAGCAAAGCTTCTTCCAGATACATTAAACTCCCAAAGACACTCCGCTGGTCCTTGGCCCTACTTGGCATGCAAGAGAATATAAACTGACCCATTATCTCCCATCTTGTAGCTGTTTGATCACTTGTTAATAGAGTGCTAGATTTTCCACATCATGGTTTTTAAAAACTATTTCACCTTGGCAAAATAGCAATGGAAGGTAGCATATAATAGTAATAACCACTGGAAATAAAGAGCAAAATAAACTTAAAATAGAAACATCAGCACTTTGAACTGAACTGGGGAAATCGGCTAGTTCCCGGTAGACCTGACATGGTCAGAGCCATGATTGACTTTTCTTGGTTTTCATGTACCAGACTAGGAAACCTAGTGACATATTAAGTGGCAGCATCTGCGTGCAAAACCACATCGAAATGTTCCGTCAGTATTATAACTTAATTTGACCAAAGAGAAAGAGATGTTGTGGAAAGAAAGGGAAATATAGATTACGTTCCCCATAAAGGGTGAGCATTGACAACCTATTAAATTCACCTCTGTAGGGATTAAAGGTATATTGGTTTGATGCTAAATTTGAGTGCTATCAAAGCAATCTAACATAATTAAAAAGAAAAGTGGGGGAGGAGTAGAACCTGCTTCAGAGGTTCTGGGATTTTTCTAGTGAGAGAGAGGGGATGGAAGACACTCTTGGTTCAGTTTAAACTCTGTTCTCTGAATTTTTTTGATGAGACAGTAAACTCCTTGGTTGTATTAGAATGATATGGAGGAGGTACTGTAGTGAAATTTTAAATTAAACAGCTAGTGGCAAGTGATATCTTTAGACTGCATGCATCTCATTCTGATGGATGACTTGACTTGTCTCCAGCGTATCTGTTGCTTGAGTAACATTCTTGTATTATGGCTTGCATTCCTGACATGCATGTGCCTGTTTACCTCAGAGTAAGTTCCACTTAGACTTGCTTCTGAGGAGATAAACCATAAGAATATGCTGGGTAGGGATTGGAGAAGCAATGTGACTATTAATTGCCTAAACAGAGGGTAAATAGATGATAGAGGAGTTACTTACCTCTTTAGATGACTGTTTTTAAGTGTATGTGAGAATGAGACAGATATATAAAAAAGGTTACAGTGCAAACAATACAAAATGGAGGTCATTGAAAAGATACTAACTACTGGTCTTATCATTTTTCCCCTTTGATGCATATAGACAAGTCAGAATACAACAACTGCAGCCCCTACGCTGAAAGATAATTCAAGTTCGACCTCTTTGCCGCTTACCACATTGAACATTACCACCTCCACCAAGGCACATGGAAACTCCCTTCAGTCAACTGCTGGTCTCTTCATTTTCTCCATCTCTCTTCTGTATATTTGTTAAGAAACCCTGGCTGGGGAGCTACCACCATTCCCTGTATAGTCCCCTGAATCATTTCAGATGCCTGATTCTCCAAATCTCAGCACGAGAGAGAACCACTGAATGCCTGCATCATGCCAGCGCAGCTCACGCCACAGTTTTATGACTGGCAGCAATCTGGCCAACAATCTACTTCTGAGATTTATCTGATGATCCAAAGCCGCCTTCTCTGAAAACCAGTTTGCCCCTCAAGAACCAGAAGGTAGCAAGCTAGCTCTGGTATTCAAATGGCTGGAACTGGAAATACAAGCCAAAAAGTTCATCTTGACTAGCCTTGGATAATGTCTACCATGAAAAAACAAAGCTATGCAAAATGAGGACTTTAATTGGCATGAAAAAACGAAGCTTGACCTCTAAAACTATTAGAAATTGCAAATGAGACTGAAATGATTTCTGCTCAGTTATTGATAGAAGGATGCATCCAGTGCAAATAGTTCTGTCCAAAATTTTCACTTTGGGATTTCCAAGAAGCTTAAATTGAACAGTTTTTTTAATTAAAAAATGTGTGGCTGTTCATGTGTGGCTCTTAAGTAAGCCTGTGCAGTTTAAAATCTATTGGGAGTCTTAACTTTTACTGTGGTATTGCAGATTTTCCATTTTATTTAAGTTTTATTAAGTGAGCCATATGTGCCAGCGAGACAGAGCATTTGAAAGGCATTGCAAGATCGGTTTCAAATAATAAGACAGAACCAAGATGGCAAGCATTACCATGAAAGCTTACAATTTTCCCCCAGTATCATATCCACCTCCCTGAATAAGTCTCAGGAGTAATTTTCAAATGTCAGTCCTTATTTGGTGCAGTTTGTAAACCATATCTCTTACTACAACGGATCATATTTTGACAGACTAACAGCAACAAAAACCTAAGTGGCTCAGTGTTGATTTGTTCAGAATCCTGAATATTGATTGAAACTGGTGAATTTGCTCGCATAGTCCCAGAACTAAATGTTTCATATTATTTTGGAATAAAGCTGGTGCTGTGATGCAGGTTCAGCTATCTAAATGCTTGGGTTTTCAGAAATAAATATGAAGAGGCTTGAGAATACTACATATGTCCCTAAAAAGTCAAGTCCAGTTATCATGTGATTGTAGCTTTGAAACAACTCTTTGACTTGTTCAGTTACCCAAAACCTAACACATGCATTGCAATTATCGAACACCTGTATGGTAAAAGCTGTAAAATACTAAAGTGGGATACCTGTATGCATTCCTTTTTGTATCAGATATATTGTTTGATTTTGTGGCTATGTGATTATGCTTTAATTTTAAATTGGGCAAACTGTAAATAAAAGAAATTATGGTCTTAAGTTTTGTGCATCGTAGTTCTCTTTCTGATTAAAGTCTTCAACATTGTGGCATAACTTAAGTAGGGTGACTAAATTGAAAATGCCTCTATTCACCAGTTGTGCTGAAGAAGAAAATGCACATAACTTTTTATAATATCTGTTTTTTATTAGGGACATCACAAATAAACAGCATTGTGGCATCCCACTTGTCACCCTCTCCCAATTTGTGTAAGAGCTACTAATCATCACTCTCTGAAGATTATTCTGTAACCAAGTGTGTATCCACAAGATAGTCGTATCCAGCCCACACCTAGTTAGCTTGCTAATCAGAATATAATGGGGCACTTTATCAAAGGCTTTGCTGAAGTCAAGATTTATTATGTCTACAACATTCCCACTGTCTACCAGGGAGGTTACCAAATCAAAAATTGAAACAAGATTAATCTGGCAGGATTATTTCTTTACAAATCAGTGTTGGCTTTGAAGTATTACTGCATTATTTTGAAGGTCTTTGCAGGGTGAACAGTTTAGAATCTGCTCCAGAATTTTCCCAGGGATTGATATCAGGCTGACTGGTCTGTAGTTCCTGGGTTCCTCCATTTTACCCTTTTTGAGGATGGGGCAAATGTTAGTTAGCTATCCTCCAAGCATCTGGAACTTTACCTATCCTCAGGATTTCAAGAAAATAATAGACAATGGTTCTGAGAGTTCTTGAGCCAGAAGAACTCTCAGAACAATTGAAGCCAGTTGCTTCAATACTCTTGGATACAGTTCATTGGGGCTTGGAGATTTGAACTTCTTCAATGTAATAAGGTATTCCTTGTAATATTCCAATATATTACAATTCCAATGTAATAAGGTATTCCAGAGTGCTGGCCTCTGAAGATGCCGGCCACAGAGACTGGTGAAATGTTAGGAAGAACAACCTTCAGAACATGGCCAAAGAGCCCGAAAAACCCACAACAACCATTATTCCTTGACTATTTGTTTATCAGTCTCAAGAGCTGGTCTTGTCCCCTCCACTCATACTTCACATTTGCCTGCAGGGTCATATACTGTACTTCATTTGAGAAAAAACAGCTAAAGTAGGATTTGAGCACTCCTGCCTTATTGTCATCTTTTATCACTTTTCCATCCCCTTTGAGTAGCCGAGCCACTATTTCTTTTCTCTGTCTTTTCACATGTACAGTCATGTGAAAAAGTATACCCTCTTTGAATACTATAGTTGTATGTAGCAGGAGGACATAATATCATCTGCTCTTTAGCGGGTCTGAAAATTAGGTACATACAGCCTCAGATGAATAGCAACACATAACATATTACACTGTATCATGATTTATTTAACAAAAACAAAGTCAAAACAGAGAAGCCATGTGTGAAAAACTAAGTACGATACCCTTACTGCTTCCATAGGAATTATGAGGCTAAGTAGCAGTCAGGCGCTGCTAACCAAATGCCATTGACTAATTGATAATTAGCAAATCTGATCAGCTCTATAACTGAAGTTTTAACTGTTTGATGGACTAGAGCAGGTGTGTGTTAACATAATGCCAAGGAGGAAACACATCAGCAATGATACTAGAGAAGCAATTGTTCCTGCCTATGAATCTGGGAAGGGTTATAAGGCCATTTCCAAACAATTTAAAGTCCATCTTTCCACAGTGATGAGGATTATTCACAAATGCAAAACATTCAAGATAGCTGCCAATTTTCCCAGGAATGGTTGTCCAAGAAAAATCACCCCAAGGTCAGACCATGTAATGCTCAAATAGCTGCCAATTTTCCCAAGAATGGCTGTCCAAGAAAATTCACCCCAAGGTCAGACCATGTAATGCTCAAAGAATTTGTAAAAACAAACCAACCAAGAGTTACATCTCAGACTCTACAAGCTTCAGTTAGCATGTTAAATGTTAAAGCTCATGGCATTACAATTAGAAAAAGGCTTTACAAGTATGGTTTGCTTGGAAGGGTTGCCAGGAGAAAGCTTCTTCTCTCTAAAAAGACCATGGCATCATGGCTCAGGTTTGCAAAGTTGCATCTGGATAAACCATAAGACTTCTGGAACAATGTCCTTTGGGCAGACAAGACCAAAGTGGAGAAGTTTGGCCATAATGCACAGCACCATGTTTGGCAAAAATCAAACACAGCATATCATCACAAACACTTTATACCAACTTTCAAGCATGGTGGCGGAGGAGTGGTGATTTGGACTTGTTTTGCAGCCACAGGACCTGGGCACCTTGCTGTCACTAAGCTCACCATTAACTCTGCCGTATATCAAAGTATTCTAGAGTCAAATGTGAAACCATTTGTCTTGACAGTGGAAGCTTGTCCAAATTTGGGTCAGGCAGCAGGCCAATGATCCCAATCACACCAGCAAATCTACAACAGAATCGTTGTAAAAGAAAAGAATCAAAGTGTTGCAATGACCCAATCAAAGTCCAGACCTCAACCCGACTGAAATGTTGTGGTGAGACTTTACAAAAGCTGTGCATAAACAAATGCCTGCAAACCTCAATGAACAGAAGCAACATTGTAAAGAAGAGAGGGCCAAAACTCCTCCAAAATGATGTGAGACTGATAAAGTCATACAGAAAATGATTAAGTTATTGCTGCTAAAGGTGGTTCTACAAGCTTCTGTGAAAGTCAATGTGGTGCCGTCATAAGGTGTTCAGGAGTGTTGGGAGGGGGAAGGATTGGGCTCCAGGAACATAGGACAGAGCACTTTTGTCCTGCTCCCAGTTTCTAACCAAATTAAACTTCAATGAGTTCTGTCTAACATGGTCATTGGTTGTGGGGGAGGGGAAGTAACCTGAGAAAGACTGCTACTGTAATCACAAGACAATGGAATCATTGAGGAAGAAACATGCCTATTGCAGAGAGAACAAGGTAGCTTTATTAACCAAGAGAGGAAGTGGAAGGTCCTACATATTTAATATTTGCTTCAGTGTTTAAACAAGGACCTGGAATAAACTGCCTAGTCTGGAGTAAACAGCAATATACATGTGGCTCTTAATTTTTTAGGGTTATCTGTTTTTATCTGGACAGTATTGTCTTAGGAAGTCTCTTTACAATGATCCTATTTAATGCTAGAGGCTTGCTTTCTTCTTCCAACACACTTTAGCAACAGAGGTAGATAAAAGATAACTGGGAACTGATGATTAGAAGTGCAAATAACCTTTTAGGGACCCTTCATCAGCTAAAAGAATAGCTAAATGAATACAGCTTTGTGTGTTCAGTTTTCAGATTGTATAGAAATACTAGTTGATAAAACACCTGTTAAGCTTACAGTACAGTTCCATGAAACTTTGTCTAAGAGATACAGAATTGGGTGTTTCATCTGCAGCTGTTGAACATGTCCATCAAAAGAATTAGATATGCCAGTCTGACAGGAAAACTGGCTCCATGACCCTAAAATGCTAACAGATACGTCAAAAGTGATGCCATCTTAAAATAAATGTTATTCATAGATCAATTCCAAGAAATAAAATTTATCTTATGTCTTTTATTCTAAAAGAACATAGGGTTCTATGTCATCTTAGAGACTCACAAATTTATTAGGCCACAGGCTTTTGTGGCATACCTTTCATGACCTTATAAATTTGATGGGCCAGACTCCTGCTTGCTCACTCCCCTCCCCCCCATAGCCACCCTTTGACCACACAGTTGGAATTTCCCAAAATTACCACCTGCCCATCTCCATAGTGCAGCAACATATTATGGTTAGCTTAGGGGTACTTGGGGCCGAAGCATGGAGGGAGGGGTGACAGAACAATGTGCTTTGAAATTGAATGTCCCTCCTACAATGCCTTGCTCTCAGTAGTTCCCAGAGCTGTGCATAATTTACAAGGTGGCTGAGAGGTGGCCATGTGGTGAAGTGGGGCAGGTGGAGATCTGAGGGGGGAAGGTGCCACCACTTTCCCCTTTGCCCTGTTTTTCTTCATCCTGTTCCAACTCCACATTGCCTCATTGTGGGTGACAGGCGGCATGTGGGGTGAGAAAGCTTTCCCTCCATAACTGTGAATTCCAAAAGAATGGCCATAGTCCAATAGTTCTCGCAGCACCAGACTAACATGGCAGCTGTTCTGGAAATGATTTTTATTTTGTCCTGTTTCTTGACCACATTCAAGGGTCCCAGAGCCATCAAACAAATTAAAGTCAGTATAAAAACTTGTAATTAAGCAACAACAACAACACATAAGCAGCCATATAAACTGACCATCCCAAAGCTGGCACCCTCCAAACATCTTGGATCACAGCTTCCTTCATTTCCATTTGAGAGTTGTACTCCAGTTGCATCTGGTGGGCGCTGAAGTGAGGAAAGTGCACTTAGCCCCTAAAGTATTGTGGGCACTCTTTCATTGCCTCCTTAAAGTCTTTTTTGCCAGTGTCTGCTCTTTGTTCCTTTCAGACAGCGAAAGTCTCACATTTCCATACCTGCCATTCTCTCTCTCTCTCACACACACACACCCAAACTCACACCCACTTTTGTTTCAAAATAGCTTTGAAATGGAATCTCATCTTGCTTGGAGAATGTTTTCATGCCACCTGAGCATTCAACAGACCTTACATAGCCTCATTGTGACTGGATATTACAAAGAGGGGTGTTATTTAACAACTAGATTACTCTTGTTGCTACTGCTGTTATTCACAGTAGTTTATAAGCAATAAATTTAAGCAGTCAAAACAACCAAGAGTCCTGTGGCACTTTTACTGTACAAATGTTATTTGTCACAGTCCTTTGGATCTGTGTCCCACTTCTTCAGATGCAATCCAGTATTTGGCAACTGTCAGCTATGGGTCCCATAAGCCTATATCCATCGATACCCATATCTTGTTAGTGTTAGACTCTTTGTTGATTTTACTGCTTCAGATTACTGAGATTAGCTCCTTGACTATTTTATAGGCACTTCGCAATTTACAGTGCAGTCCTCAATATGCCTGCTCAGAAAACAGCTCAGTGGGACTTAGTCCTGATTGCACCTTTTGTGTTTGTAGTCTTACCAGCGGCCTTGCAACAC